TCCCCTGCTCCCCACATGTGGCAGTTATTATTCCTAAGTTAACGACATTCAATCGTGTTATACTACCACAGATCTTTAAATAAAGTATATACCGCATAATTACTAACAGAGGCAATCTTCTCCACTTGTTGTCAAATATTTTATATAAGCATCTGACTTAAAGTGCAAATAGAAATACTACATTCCATAATTGTAAACATTCACCAAGAGCTTCCAGAGTACGATAAGTAGTAGAGGTGGTTCAAGAATCAGTCAAGTGTTCTTCACTCATTGGATACTGCTGAGATTAGGAAAACTGTTCTGAAGAAAATGATCATAAGTCTTACTTGTATTTCTACAAGGAAACAGTTCTGGATACACATTTTTTTTATGAAAACACCTGAAAGTCATTCTAAAGACTATATTAAGCACCATTTTCACTTACCTGAAATATATTGAATTAAATTCAGCTGTATGTATGAGTGTTAATATCAGAAATTAAAAATAACTCTGGGTCTCAAGTTGCCTTTGGTGGATACATATGGAGCAGTGAGTTCCCACTGATGCTAATAGAAACCACTCATGAATACCAAGGGTAGAAACTCCCCCAGGGCCACATGCAACCTCTAAGTCTGAGGCACAACTATGACTTCTGTCGGTGGATGTTATACAAGCACATTTAAGGCTATATTCGGCTATAAAGAGTTCAATCTACTCTTTAATACTCATTCCGTGTAGATCACATACACAATTCAAAATTTTACGGGACACGAGCTGAAAAGTCTCCAAACACTTTTTAATACCTTTCTCCATACAATTTAGTGTCCGCATATTTACATAGGGGAATGTTCACACTTAAAAATATTTTTTTCTTTTTTTTAAATGCAACCACAATTTTCACTTATCACTGTTTCTCCAGGAATATCCTTGTTGTAATTTTTCAACTTTTGGCCAACTTCACATTTGTCAGAAGTTTCTATAATTGGATTACTTACAAACTTTAACAGCCACTTTCAGTAGTTTTCCACACCAGTAAGGCACTTCATCTTACCTTTTGTGGGATCTGGGCAAGGGCTGATGCAATTACGTTGGCCCTTTCTTCTTTCATGTTAGTGACCATTGACCCCAGAGAAAACACCACAACACCATTTTCTCCAGAGCTCTGTACAAACTCTTCCATTTCCTGTGAAAAAAGAATTTGTTTCATCACAAAAGAGTAACAGCACAGCAGGCACTGCTGAAAGAATTGGGACAAATTACTAAAGAGAGAAAATCAGTTATTTTGAGTAATCATTGGAGTAAATAATATTTTCTAACTGACTCAATCACTCAGGGTTTTTGAAATTAGATACAAAATGTGAGATAGGTGGACGCTGTTAGGATATTTGTGTAACTATGTGTATATGTGTATGTATTTGTGTGCATGTGTGTAAGGGAGAAAAGAAGTGCAGCTATTACATTGTAGTCAGGGAGATAATGTCAAAAATATTACACACAGACTCTTCTCTTATAATACTAAAATTACTAATATAGGTTCTTGGAAAGTGGCACCACTCAGCTTTAATTCTGTATTGTTGTTCTACTAAATCACTTGTGTTGATTTCAGGCAGGTTTTCTGTAGGATTCTTTTAGTAGGAAGCCATTAGTGTTTACTTCCCTCACTATGAGCTCTGAGGATAAGCTGCTCACTGTTGGGATAATTTTATATCTACATTTATGTTTCTCTACAGTGCTTTTTACTTCACTTAAAGTTTGTCAGAGTTTTCTGGTAGTTTTTGAAAAACTAAACAAAAATAAAAGCTGATGGTTAAGAACTACTGACATTCTGGAGTTTGGTATTGTAATTTGGAATTTCTGTGAATTAGTCCAGGAGTCTTATTTATAATACAGAATTGTACACTATACAGTTACATAGTTGAATGATCATATTTTCAGATTATTGTTTAGGTGGAGCACCTATTGACCTGAAATCACACTGTTAAACTGATGTGCTATTTATAACTGCTTATGAGGAACTCTCATCATCACTTTGTTGTGTCTCAGAGGCAGCACTTGCATCAGAATAGAAGAGGCCACCAGACCTTTTTGCAGGGGAGATCTTGTATCTCTTTTGAGTAGCTCATTCACACCACATTACACTCCTGGTGAAGATGTGCTTGGCTGCAATCGATTGCGAATTATTCTGACTTGTGTTCTCCAATGAATGCCAATATTTAAACTTAAATATTTTCAGATTTAATCATTGTGGTAAAACTTTTCCTTATGGTTCTTAACAAAACAAAGAAAAAATGTCCAAATGTTAACTGTGCAGACCACATATTACGGAGCATTTTTAAAATATGATTTTTAATCTTAACATAAGAGTCATTGTACTGCTATTCCAGGTAATACTTGGGGCATGTAGGTATTGTGCATGACTGCCGTTGACTGTAGCCATATTTACTGTAACTGGTGTTCAGTGTTTCACCTCACTAGCTTGATGCCAAGAGCCCTGTTTATCCATGCAGTGTTGAAGGAACCTAACCTCTGTTTACAGATTCATCACGGATATGGACTGGTTGTTTCTTCTTCTGTGATAATGTAATAAAAATAATATAAGATTAA